CTTATTGTCCTATCAGCCTCACTAGTGTTTTCAGTAAAACACTTGAATGCATCCTTGTTGTCCATCTTCATCAATACAACCTGCTGCCTCATATACAGGCGGGATTTTGCCCACGCCTTTCTACTTTAGATCAGATTCTCAAATTGTCTGACTCTCTTTCCAATCATTTCAACCCTCGAAGACTGCATGCTTCTGTATGATTTCTGGCGTGCTTTTGATTCAGTTTGGCATCAAGGTTTTCTCCACAAACTGCATATGTTGCACTTTCCTATTCCCTATATTCATCTCATCTCCTCTTTTCTAAACTGGCGCTGCACTGCTAGATCGATTGATGGGATTCTCTCTCACACTTCCACACCAGAGTCCCACAAGGTTCTGTGTTGTCTCCCATTTTGTACATTCTCTATGTTGCTGATATGTCTTGTCCCCAGCCTCCTCTTCAGTTGTTTCAATATGCTGATGACACAGCTTTGGTAGCCCATTGTTCCACGATGTCAACTCTGAACAAGCTACTCCAGGTTGCTGTAAATTCTTTTTTGTCTTGGTGTCACTGCTGGCGGCTATCCCTCAATGTTCCTAAGACACGAGCTATTCTTTCGGCCCAACTCGTCATAAGTTTCGCCCTTGTCGTGACCCATCTCTATTTGATGTCCGGATTGACAATGTCCCGATCCCCCTTTCCGACTCCATGACCTATCTAGGCATTGTCTTTGATAAGCATCTAACTTGGAAGCCATACCTATCCGCCCTTTCTGCTAAGGTTACTCGACGTCTTCATCTCCTCCGTTCTCTCACTTGTACATTCTGGGGCCTGAACCCTCCTCTTATACTATACACATACAAGACATTTATCAGACCCTGCTTAACCTATGGACATACAGCTTGGATATCTGCTTCTCTGACCTTCTACTCTCGTCTCCAGGTTTTGAAGGGCCATGTCCTCCGGCTTGCCTTTGGCGTCAAACTCCTTAGTCACACGTCCGGCCTTTATCGCCACATCAACTTTCCTCACATTCTATTACACCTTTGACAGTTTCGCACTCGCTATGTTAATAAATATTTTCGTGACCACAATTTCATCTTCTCCGATGTTCTCGCCACCACTGTACTTACTCCGAGAAACATTTTTGCACCAGCTAATCACCTACTGAACCTTTATGTCATGTTCCTCCCAGCTGACAATCCCGACCACGTCGAGATGCCGATCTCTCCTCTTCTCCCATTTATCTATCCTGATCCGTAATACTCGATATACTTTTCCAGTTCCCACACAATCTCCATTATATGATATAGACTGGTTAGTGTTAACTCATATTTCTCCGGATTGTCTCCTCCATCTGCAAATATCGCGTTTTCCCCATTTTCCGCCTCTTGTGCTGACTTCAACGCTTACCCATCTATAATTCATTTTACCCATTTTTCTTTTTTTCGTCCCTTGGCTGACGAGAGGGCGTAACTAGTCTGGCTCACAAACACATCCCTAATGAAAGAATAGACCATTCCAAGCTTTTACTTGTTGTTAAACAAATGTTTAAACAACTCTATTCATTATGTACCAGCTGCCTACTGTCGGCTAACAATACGAAGAATTAAATTGTAGCGGAATGCTACAAGTTCTTCAAATACCTATAAAATGATAGGTTTCTTTTTTGTGAATGTAAAACACTTAAATACACCATTTCGAACTTATGGTTAATTAATGTAATTAAAAGACTATGCTATTTATTTCAAGTATGTTTCGAATGATGTAATATATAAAAAAACGACAAAAAATACAAAAGTCTTTATTGGTTCCTTCCAGTGAAATTAGAATTAGCAGTTAATCAATATGTAATTAGAGAAAAGGAAGGAAGACAGATTAGTATTATTTTATAAAACACAGGTTTATGCGACGGACCTTTGTTAAAACTTGCATGTTAAAATTCATTGGTAAGTATGGATATCTAAGCTGTAATATTATAACGTAACATACTCAGAAATACGTGCTAGTAAAAATAAATAAATAAAAGAAGAAACGTAAACACAACGACTCTTCTAGGTAAATAGAAAATGTAAATATATCCGTAATACCAAACTTAATATAGGATAGTTTGAGACCTACTGTTGAAATATGAAGAATACAGAATATAGAGATGGCTAAATGTGAAAAATATTTTATATGCTCACCCTTGTTCACCGTGTATTGCGCTTCGTAAGAGGGACACACATGGGTTATTGTTTGAGGGCGGAGTTGGTCGAAGATAATGTCGGGATCGAAAGATTCTGGAATGTCATACTCAGCAATGGAAGTCGAAAAACAAAACTGAAAACTAGGCCGACACAGACCATTAGCGTTGGTTATGCTGCCGCTGAACACATAGGAAGAGCTGCTATATATATTTCCTTTAGATGCCTGGAGTCTTATGGTAAAGTTTGTTCCTGAAAATAAAATAGCAGTAGACTTAGCGATTGAAATACCTCAGTCGAAATTATAAACAGTATCAACGATTTTAGATATCGTTTACTCGAAACTTTTCAAAGTTTTTGTTGTAAGGAAATATGTTAGGTACTAAGGAAGAAATAATTATAATAACAATAATGAGAACAATGAAATCTACATTAACGAAGCTAAACTTATCTAGTTAAACAGTGTCATCGTTAATGTATGTGTTATTTTGCCGCAATGTAGTTTTGTTTACAATATCATTTTAATTATTAATGTATTTACTAATATATTAGATATAAGCCCATTCCTAGTTTAGAAAGTTACGTGTTTAATAACAGAAATTGATACTACATAGATATACTAGTAATTGGGGTGTTATATAGTTTGTTTTTTTATATACACAGTTTCCTTCCTCTTCCTATTTTTTTTTTAAAGTTTAATCCAACAATGTACTTCACTTGAATGTTCACAACATGAACATTAAGTTAAAACTACTTTTAGGATTTATTTTACATGTTTTCTTAAGTAAATCTGTATACATTACGGTTATTTTAGGTCATTTTCCCTTTCAAGATGAAAACTTACATCACAGTGTCAAACATATTTTTAATTAAATATTAAATGCAGGTTCCTATAAAACTATTGAGTATCACTGTGGAAATGAAACAAATTTACTTTAATATTTTTACTTCTTAAAATAATCGCTTTGAAAAATTTCTTTATGTCTTTTTAAACCTTTGCAGCAGTTGGTAAAGAACATATCAAAGATGAACTAATGATGCTTGGAGACAGCTTGAATGGGTAATGAAGAAAAACTTTAATATAAGTTTAACATAACAGCAAATGCACAATGTTTCGACAAGGTTTTGTCATCATCAGGTATAAGTAGTTTAACTGACACAGATATATATATACAGTATGGAACAAAGAGGTCACATGACCGGATACTGTTACACGACTTAAAAAGGGATATCTTGATATCCCAGGGTGTTGGTTTAGAGTAGGGGTTTTTCTTCAATTAAGATGGATTCCTTGATTTTTCGTTTGTTTATGTTTGGTTCTTTGTTTA